ACTGGAGCTGTCGACGCGTACACCGATAAGTTCTACGAGTTGATTAGAAAAGTCGATCCAGAAAATAGATATCCCGATGATTATCATACTCGAACATACAGACGAGGTCTCAAACCGGAAATTCGAAAGTGGGTACAGGTGATCACTGATGGTACTCTTGCGAATATGATCGAGAAAGCACGGGAAGTTGAAAAGGCAGAAGCTGATATTGAAATTAAGAGCCATTTCCAAGTACACCCGACGGTGATGCTTGCCAATGATGAAGTATTGAACGCAATTCAAACGCTCACCAGAAAAATTGAAACGATCGAAGCTGGTAGAACCTCTCGATCGAACCAATCAAACTACAATAATCGATGGAATAACCAAACTGTTGATAATGGACCGGTGTGTTATGGTTGTGGAGAAGCTGGTCACATACGTCCAAATTGTCCAAATGCCAATAGAAACCAAACTGGCGGAAATAATCGACGAGAGTTTTCTCAAAATGGAAATAATAATCGACATAGTCAAAACAACAACCATCCAAATTGGAGAAACCAATCACAAGATGCCAGGCAAGATAATCTAACTAGTAATAGTCAACCGACGAATAATCAGTTACTACAATTGCAAGTGCTTACAGATATTATTCAAGCCAATACGAACGGAAATGATGGTCGTACATATCTTGGAACACATGAGTATTATCCGGCTGAACGATCTAAACCAAAGGAACGGTTCAACCCAACGGCCAAACAACATAATACGCGAAGTAAAGACAAGCAGAAAGAAGAAATGACTGATCCTCCAGTCAACGAAGTCTTTGATAATCCCGAAATAGAATTTATTCCGGAAGACAATGAAATGGACGAAGCTGGACCTAGCCAACCAAAACCACATCAGCAGGAGATAAATATTGAAAAGAAACTTCGGAAGAAAAAGGGAAAACCAATCTTACCGGTACTAGCTACCAAAGCTTCCCCGTATGATATCGTGGAAGATCTTGCCAGCATCAAGGCGAACATCATAATGGCCCAACTGATCGAGACATTACCGGCACAGAGAATAAAAATGTCAAAGGGAATGCGAAGACCAATCCAGAAATTATCAAAAAAATGGAACTTCCTACAAAAAGTAAAGACTACCTCAGCTTGGTGTGAGACCTTTATCAGTAAGACTCCCGTAGACCTGATTATCGACACTAGCGCGTCTGGATGCATGATCACGCAAGAATTCCTGAAACGAAATCAAATTCCAATACAATGACCGTCAAATATAAAAATGTCAGACATCAATGGATTATCGAAACAACCTTTGGGCGCCATTGACGGATTTAAAATTATCCTGGGTAATATTACTATACTGGCTAATGTCGACGTTATAAAGGCTAAAACTTTTAGTGTTCTCGTAGGAATGGATTTCTTAGAAAAGATCAGGGCGAATATCGATTTCCAAAAGAAAACCATGGTTTTTCGGTGAGGAGAACGAAGGGGCGAGGTCCCTGTTAAATTTATCCATTCAATTGAAGAAGTATCCAATGACGAGGCTAATCCAACTGCTTCAGAGCAAGAGACCGAATCGGAAAGTGAGGAAAACATCGACAGTGAAATAGAAGTTGAAAAACAGAATTTAGAGAAAAAGAATTTTTTAATGTACACCACGACCGAAAATGATTGGCAAATCACTCGATCACGAACTTGGAGAACTGAGTTTCCTGTTGAAAGACCAGATTACAGTAAATGGAAACTCATCAAGCACCGACCATACGCAATATCGATTTTAGATTTCAACCAGGTATCTCAGCGGATAATCCGGAGTGTTAATATGATAGCAAACGTGGAAGTATATCGTGAAGGTCTTAAAATCCAATCACAATACTATACCTAGGAGGAAGCCAACCTCCTTAAGGGAAGATTCCAACGCCCATATCCACAATCGACTAGATGGAGTTACGACTGGAAAAGACCAAGGAAGTATTGTTGGTGTGGAGGACAACTAGTCACTGCATACCAGCAATGTCGGAAGTGTTATAACGACTTGTCTAAATGAATAGCTATTGAAAGGTTTAAGCCATATGGAATCGATTGGAAAACTGAAAACGATTGGGCACAAGAAGCGGAACAGGAGCTATTCCTATCTCAAAGAGTTAGAAGGAAGTTTCAACACTACGGTGAAGCGACGGAGATTATTACACCAATCACCCAGATCGATAAATGTGCCGAATGCTATCTATATTTGGATCATTACTACCTCAACGTCTACTATCAATATAGTGACACTCAAGCCGAAGCTTGTGAAGATTGTTATCGAGAGAAACGACTCAGACTCCCCGCTTGCGAATTGTGCGGACAACGAGATAACGCGAGATCCATGTATATTACCGGTTCGTATGAGAAACAGTACTTTTGTGACTATTTACATCAAAGTATATGGTGGTTTAACCGAGGAGGATGGCAAAATAATCGACGAACGATAGCAAAACTTCGTGGCCAATATGGTCTATACAAAGTATACCAAATGTGTAACGAAATTGGACGAGCAATCGTCACCAGATACCTACAACCTGGTAAGTTAGAAAACAAAATGGAAATAATCCAGTACGAAGGGATAGAGGAAGCAACACCTACCGAAATTTTCCACCAAATTTATCAACAACTCACCGGGGAACATCGGCAACAACTAGCACAGCTGGAATATATCAACGTGCGTTTATGTGAAGAATGTTTAATCCCATGTAAAAAAGAACAGTGTGACGATTGTTGTCGGATAAATGTCGATACGAAAGATCGAAATGTTAAATTACATATTGATAAAGAAAAACAACGGATGCCCACCATTGAAGAAGAAATAGAAGATCCGATTCGAGAGAAAGATCATAACATAGGAAACGATATTAATAATGGAAATAACAGTTGTACGTCAAAAGATAAAACAATGGAACAACTTGATACATGTCCAAAATTGGAATTGAATATCCAAGTCAGTGGTGACGAATTTTCCAATATTGTTATCAACTCGTACAACAATGGAATCTTGATACTGGATGCTTTGAAAATGACGTTGAAAGAAGAGATGAATCACGTAGCCCTGAGGAATCACAGAATAGTTTTATGCGGTCAAGGTATACACCAATCACGGCAAAGGGAGAATACCACAACGGGCTCACACTGCGGATGCTGAATTCGATATCTACTATCCTGGAAATGAACTGACCGAAGTAGCGCCTCAACAAACTAAAATTATTGATTCTTACGTCGTCTTTGAAGTTCCAGAAGGAACCGTATGTC